GAGTTTATAGGAGAGAAGGAACGGTGGATGGTGTGGACACCTGAGAAGATGGAAGGTAGGGTTCGTAGTGCAGCAGGAGGAACTGGCCTTGGTTAGGAGGGTCAGTGCCTTAAATAGAGCAGGTTAGGCAGGTGGAGACAGTTCTTCCCAAGAGGGTTGAGGACAGTGAGATCTGAAAATAGTCCTTGAGGAGAGGGAGTTCCCCAGAGAAGGCCAGTAGGCTGGTGGGACAGCATCGGGCCCCTCTTGAGGTCGGTGATTACAGATCTACAGCAGACCCAGCCTGCCTTCTTGCAGCGGCTTTGGCCAACAGAGCTTGAATGCTTTGCAAGCAGAGAGAACTATTCATTGAGTGTCTCAAGATGTGGGAGTTCCCTGACACGTGGGATGAAAAGGCAGAGGAGTACGGGAGTTTGGGTTGCAGGCAAAGGTGATGTTGAAAGAGGATCATGTGATTAAGAGTTAGAGTGTGAAGAAGCGGGGGATGGGACAGCGTAGAGGGGTGGGGTTGGGGGCTGGTGCAGCAGGTGGGGCCCGTCTTCGTGAAGGATGTTGGGGAGCCAGCGGGGTGGTCTGAGCGGGGCTGTTGAACTGGTGACTTTGGAGGCAGGGCAGTTACAGTTGATGACACAGTCCGAGGGGTGATGACAGGTGAGGAGGAATGGAGGGAAAGGTCATGGGAGAGGCGTTTGAGAGACCGAGAGATTGGGGTGTCAGATGGAGTGGCCCCAGATGTCGGAGTCGACCAGAATGATGCGTGGATGAAACTCGCTTTCAAAGAAGGGGCAAGACCCGGAGGCCAGCGGCTGAGGAGGCCAGCGGCGGAAGAGGGTGGCAAGGCCACAGGGCTGTACGGTTCTGCAAGCAGCTTGGGGACCGCAGAGGATACCAACCTCACGTTTGGGCTTGGGGAACATGGGGTGAGAGAAGAGAAACAGAGTCACTTGGAAGACTACAGAAAAAGCAGCATGCTAAGGTGCAGCATGTGAGGGGCTGGGGACCCTCAGGGAGGGGCCTGAAGCTACAGGGACACTGCTGCAGCCGGGTGGCCGGGTCAGAGGAAGCAGCACAAAGCCTTGTGGGGACGCAGGGTAGGGAGGACCGTGGGGCAGCCGTGTGGGGCTCACTCTGTGGGTAGGACCCAGAGAGGCTCTTGTTCTCATCTGTCACCCTGGGACCGTGTTCTGGGGACCCATCTGCTTGTCTGCGACACGGTATGGTTGGGGACTTGGCAGACTCCGAGACTGCAGGGATGACCCCACACTCTCCGGGCGCCTCTATAGCAGAGCGGCCCGCCCAGACCCAGATTCGTACTTTGAAAAAGGTTCTCCACAGGGGTGGCGGCCAGCCTCCCGCTCCCAGAAGCCAGGGAGGAGCTGCATCGTCGGTTGCCCACAGAAGCTTCTGTGCTGGCCCGCTTTGGAGACAGACTCGAGAGGCTAGAGCTTGACTTGGCTTACAGGCTGACCAGGCAAAAATGTGCCCCAGGTTGATTTTGTCCCTCAGTGTGCACGCACTTAACAATTTTGCGAGGGTTTCTGTTGTCTCCACACAGTTCCTGTCGTCGAAGGGAACAAGGCTCGCCAAGGCCGTCAGGACCGACAATCGCCACAGCCCTCAGATGTCACTTCTCAGGGGGCGCAACCAGATGGGGCGTTATTTCCCCTACTTTGTTGTTCTTCCCAGTTTTTGTTAATTAGCTGCATATCATGCAGCACAGCAGGAGTTTGGGAATATTTGATTATTTGTGAGACAATGAATCTCAGTTTTAAATATAGCATGTATATATATACACGCACAATACATACCACACATGTATGTGTCCATATGAGTCTATACACATACCTCAGCCTGTCTCTCTGCACTCACTTCCCATTGGAGGGAGAGGGGACCTCGTTCGGGCCTGGGTTATATGCCGGCGGCACCGTTTGTGACTGTCCAGTTTTCCGTCCATCTCCTCTGCTAGACCCTGAGTTGCCGAAGGGCAGGGGCCACGACTTCGTCACATCTGCACCCGGTGCTAGCACAGGGCCTGCCACCGACCAGACGTCCCGTGACTGAGCGGCGGACGGGGACGGCCCGGGTGGACGCAGCCTGGGAGGTGTCGGAGGACGGACGAGGGGCGTGCTGGGGGAGGAGAGGAACCAGTGAGGGCGCGGTGTGTGGAGGCGGAGGGTCAGCCAGAGCGAGCGGCAAGAACAGCCGTGGGTCCGTATTCGGAGGGAAGAGACGGGGCGGTGAGGAGGCCTTCCCAGGAAAGGAGGGAGTGGTGCTGCATTCTGAAGACCAAGGAGGACTTGGATATAGGAAGAGGGGGATGAAAGCGGGTCTTCAACTGCTATTTCAATGACTTGGGGGCAGGGGCTGACCTGGAGTAAAGGATTGAACCCGACCCTAGTAAACCTTCGATACCAAATTAAGAAGCTTTGACTACTTATTTGTCTTCTACTAATTAGCACTACTCATTAAGTCTAATTGTCTGATAGTTTATGTGAAGTCTTCATATCCTCACATCTTCTTGGGGGAGGGACTCTCTTCCCTGTCTATAGTTGAAGAAATAGGCTCAGAGAGGGAAAGTAATTTGCCCTGTGTCACACAGCAGGGCTACAATTTGAACCTGAGATTTAGTGACTCCAAAACTTCTCTTTTTTTGGTGGGGGGTGACTATTTCACGCTGCTCACTCCATCAGTGAGGTCCCCAAGAACGCAGAGGAGGGCTGAGCAGGGCCGGCGGGAGTGGGGTGGTGTCGTGTTTTCTAGGCAGGCATATCCAGGCAGAGGGTCCCCCAGCTACACTGTGAGCCGGGGCAACTCCGTCTCAGCCCTTATCCTCTGATGGTTCCTTGCCAGGACCGGGTGCCCCATCGGACCCCAAACCATCAGGCTCCCTAAGGTCTAGCAGAGTCAGGGTAGAAAGGGAGAGGGAAGGAGGGCAGGAGCTTTGGCAGGGGGAGCAGCCTGGGGAGTTTCTCCCCCAAGGTCGGCAGGCCATTGGAGTCAAAACCAGAAGGGCTGTTAGAGGTCATATGTCCAGCAACCTCTATGTATAGAAGACCCAGCAGGAAGGTGGCCTACCCAAGGTCACCTGTGGTCAATGTCAGACTCTTGCCGGAAATATGCCTCTTAACTCCCAGGCCACTGCCACCTGGGAAAGGTTGTGTATTGGTGCCAAGATGAGACGAGTGGCAGGGAAAGGCAGAATGGTTGCCTGGCTCTGCCACCAACCTGCTGTGTGACCTTGGGCAAGTTGCTTCCCCCCTCTGAGCACCCTGGTCTCTTTCTCCAAAGTGAGATAATGATCTCAGCTCTGCCTTTCTGCCAAGGAGTATCCAGTGAGGGATGAACTTGGAACGCTCGTTACAATCTGCAGGGCCCAGGGATGGGAGTCACCAACAAGAGACATGCTGGCGCCACGTGGGTGGGTGCCAGGGTTGAGCCTGCGGCTTCCTGGGCCTCTGCCCAGCCTTGCCATCTGTGTAGTAGCGTCGGCTCCACCCTCTCCTGCCTCCCTGCCAGGAAACAAGCTTCTGGGGTCTTTCTCCTTGGTCAGAGTCTTCCTCCTCTCCCCACCCAGACCCTTCCTTCTCCCCTTCTATTTTAGGCAAGACTCTTGGTGGCAAGTGACAGAAATCACAAGTACAGAGAGGGGCAATCGTTTTAGGCATGGCTGGATCCTTAGTGACGTCACTGCGAACGCTCTCCCTGCTTGCTCACCGTCCTTCCTCACTCTCTCTCCGTCCTCAGCTTTGGTGACTCACAGGAGCGGGGCACACAGTGCGTGCCCGTCTCTGAACAGATCAGCGTGTGTGGAGTGTTTGGTTAGGCTTTGGTCACAAGCCCACTATGGAAGCTGGAAGTGGGCTGAGCCCCACCCAAGCCATGTGGCCTATGAGGGAGGCAGCTTCCGAAACAGAAACATGGGTTCTGTCGGTTAAGATCAATAAGTACCCTTGGCACCTTTGTTCCTAGGTGTATCAGCTGGAAGATTGAACCAGGGGCTGCTAGAAAGGGAGTGTTGATTGCATTGTGTATCAGTTAGCTTTTGCTGCATAACAGATCACTCCAAAATGTATTAAAAGAACCATTTTATTCAGCTCATGATTCTGTGGGTCAGCCGGGAGATTTTTCTGGGCTGGGCTATGTGTCTGTGCTCTGCTGGTGGGTCGGCTAGCACCTGAATGAGCCGCTGTGGCCTTCCTATGGTGGTTGGCTGGTGGCCAGCAGGGGTGCCTTGGTGTCCCTCCATGCAGCCTTTCGTAATCCAGCAGATCACCTCTGTGTTACAAGTGTAGCAAGTGTGCAAGCTCCAGTGCACAAGCATGTTTCAAGCCTTCACTTGCTTGGAGTTTGCTTAGTTCCTGTTGGATAAAGCAAGTCACGTGACTAGGGACAGCATTAGTGTGGCTGGGCTCTGCCAAAGAGCATGGAAACAGGAAGAATTTGAGGACAATTTTGCAATCTCCCTAACACCTCCCTCAGGGAAGGAAAGTAAAAAATAAATCTCTTTCTCTGTGGCCCACACATCCCATAGGCCCAGGCAACCACCCGAGACTGGATGGGGGGGCGGGCACCTTGGAAGCGGTGACTCAGACCCAGCAGCTTCCCCCGGGGCCTCCAGGGCCAGGGCACAGCCCTTGCCCAGGGCTGGGGGAGGGGTCTGGATCCTGACTCCACCCACTGAGAGCCCCACATTAGGAAGGTGCCAGAGGGAAGGGCCTCTTGGCAAGGATGCAGGTGTTCTGAACCCTGGCTCCCATCTTCCTTCAGCGCTCCCCGAAGTCATGATCAGGGCTCAGTCCCCCGCCACCCCACAGACTTGCCCCACCTCCCAGCATCCGTTTGCTACTGCGGGGCTGGGATGGCTCTGAGATTTGTGCGCAATCAGGCCGTGGTGCCCCATTGATGCTATAACTGATGCAACCTCCTCCACAAGGTCAAGGAGGAGTCCCCGTCCTTCCCTTTTAGGGGGTGAGGTGGCCTCAGTCTGCTCTTTCCCACAGGTGGCGGCGCTGGAGCGGCAGATCTTTGACTTCCTGGGCTACCAGTGGGCTCCCATCCTAGCCAACTTCCTGCACATCATGGCCGTCATCCTGGGCATCTTCGGCACAGTGCAGTACCGCTCCCGGTACCTCATTCTGGTATGGCTCACGTGGCCCCTACCCAGCCACCCCTTCTCCTCGCTCCCCCACGAATCCCCCTCGCCCAAATCCACAACTGCCTCCCACCCTGGATGCCCAGACCCTGCTCTGTTTTGCCACCAGCCCTGTGGGTATGATGCCCAAATGCCAAGGCTTCTTTGTTCAGAGGAGACAAGGTGGATATTTGTCCTAAAGAATTTCCTAGGGAAAAAATCCGAATATTAATACAATATATTATTAAGAGAGTGCCTACTATGGGTCACACACTGCTAAGAGTCTCACGTGTTTTATTGGATCTTTACCACAGCTCTGCAAGGTGTATCGTACCATCTCCATTCTCTAGATGAGGAAATGAGTCTCAGAAAGGCTGCATCACTTCCTGAGGTCACACAGCTGATCGGTGGCAGAGCCAGGACTAGAGCATCCTATCCAGAGTGAAGGCTCCTACCACGCCACCATGCCGCCTCAGAAAGCCAGCGGGAGGGAGGGGCCTTGTCTTGTTTAGTTCCTCAGGTCGTTTCAGGAACACTTGGCTTTTGTCCATTGTTTTCATCGAGAATATGGTCCAGCCCTGGCTGGTGTGGCTCAGTGGTTGAGGGCCAGACTGCAAACCAAAAGGCTGCTGGTCTGATTCCTTGTCAGGGCCCATGCCGGGGTTGCGGGCCAGGTCCCCACTTGGGGTGTGCGAGAGGCAGCAGACTGATATTGCTCTCACACATTGATGTTTCTCTCCTTTCTCTCCTTCCCTTTCCCTCTGTCTAAAAATAAATAAATAAAATCTTAAAAAACAAACAAACAAAAAAAGAACATGGTATAGCCCTACCCAGGTGGCTTAGTTGGTTGGAGCGTTATCCTTCCTGTACACCAAAAAGGTTGTGGGTTCCATCCCTGGTCAGGGCACGTAAGGGAGGCACCTGATCCATGTTTCTCTCTCACATGGGTGTTTCTCTCTCTCTCTTCCACTCTCTCTAAAATCAATAAATATATCCTTGGGTGAGGATTTAAAAATTATATATGGTCAACAGTGGCTTTGGGGTCAGTACCTGCACACCCATCGCAAGAGTGGAAGGTGCCCATGGCTCCTTCTGCCTGCTTCCTTTTTCTAAGTCCTGGTCCTTGATGGTCTCAGTCGAACTCCTACTTTAAGCTCCCCTTTGTCCCCTGCTCTTCCTCAGTGGTCTATTCCCTCTCCTGAGGGAAAAGGCTTTTTATGTTTACTACAGAAATGCTTGAACCCTACAGCAACAAAGATGCACAGTGTCCCGCTACCACCCAAAACCACTAGCACCCCATTAGGGCTTCTGCCCCCCTGCCACGGGTGTGGCTCCCAGAAGCCTTTCCAGAGTTTTCTCTCATCTGAGCGAAATTCAAGAACGCTTCTCTCCAGTTCTCTGGAAGCCCCAGGCACCCATGTTGACAGTCCTATCTGCCAAATGGCAGCCGCTGGAAGTGCAGGCATAGTGCTCAGATGGAAATAGCCAGTTTTTCTCCAGCTCTTTGCCATGTCTAGGGGCCACTGTTCTCTGCCGAGCAGGTAGTATTAACTACCCGAGGACTTGGTTTGCATGCCAGCCCTATCTCTTTCTAGCTGTGTGATCTTGGGAAAGAGACCCTTTCTAGGCCTTAAAGTAGTCACGTCTGAAGAGAGTACATTGCCTTCCCTGCAGAGTTGTTGTAAAGGCTGGATGGTTATAAAAATTGTTCTTAGTGCTCTATGAGTGATGTATGGTCGTAACTTCCCCTGCAAATGTCTTCTCAGTCCACCAGCTCTGTTTCCGTGCACATACCCCAAACCCACTCCCCCAGGCTCCACCCTGACGGCACCTCTGTTTTCCCCAGTATGCAGCCTGGCTAGTGCTTTGGGTCGGCTGGAATGCATTTATCATCTGCTTCTACCTGGAGGTTGGACAGCTGTCCCAGGTAAGCCTCAGGCCTGGCAGTGCCAGAGGGCAGAGCCTGACCTTTCCCATCCCCCACCCTAAGGGCTCCCAGGGTGGTGTGGGTCTGGGGGTATCATTTCTTGAAAAAATCTCCTTTTACATGTCCAAATAATCTGTGTTCCACCCCCCACCCCACGGTTTTGTTTCTGGCTCCCTCTACACTTCCCAGACACAAATGATGATGGAGTGGATAAGGTTGAAGATCAGTTTGTGTGAAGATGGGCTGGGGTCACACTTGATAACAAGCCCAGTAGAGCCCTGGCTGGTGTGGCTCAGTGGATTGAGTGCTGGCCTGCGAACCAAAGGGTCACCGGTTCAATTACCAGTCAGGGCACATGCCTGGGTTGCAGGCCAGGTCCCCAGTGGGGATGCGCACGAGAGGCAACCACACATTGATGTTTTTTTTCCCCTCTCTCCCTCCCTTCCTTTCTTTAAAAATAAATAAATAAAATCTTAAAACAAAAACAAAAACAAAAACACAAGCTCAGTAGAAACCAACAGTCTGTGGTGGCCCAGAAAGCTACTGTAAGGTCCCATGCACGTTTAGGGAACATCCTGCACACTTTCTACTGTTTAGACCACAGAGATTTGAGTCCGGTGCCAAACAATATCTTTCAGAAGAGAAAGAGAGTAGGGAGAGTTTGTTCAGGAAGAACTGAGCAGACCATGTCACGTGGAGAAATATCGAAGGAAGGAGTGTTCAGCTCTGAGATGATCAAGCCCAGGGAGCACACCTTCCATCTTTAGATATAAAGAAGGCAGCAGATAGGAATGCGAGCATTGGGTTTGTGGTTTGACCCTAGCAGATTCAAATCCCAGCTCTCACATGTCTAGCTGTGTGACCGTGGGCAAGTGCTTTACCCTCCCTGAGTTTCAGTTCCTCATCCAGTGAGTGCAGATCAGAACAACTCCAGCTTCCTTTGGTTCCTTTGGGTTAAACGAGATCACGCATCTCAGCGCTCGACACCTGTCAGCACACAGTGGCTGTTTGTCAGCGGCCCGTGTGAGCGAACCGACTGATGAATGCATGGGTGCACACCACCCATAGCGGCTTCGGATCCAGGGCAGCCCTTTCTGCATTTCAAATGGGGAGACTGAGGACCAAAGAGGGAAGAAGTTTGCCCAGGGTCACATATACAGAGAGCATTGGAGAGGCTGAGTGGGCTGTCAAAGGACCTGTATTGAAGATTTCAGCAATGGCTGGAAAATTGCACCCGGTCACTGTGAACGTCCTTTCCAGCCCTGAAGTTCTGGGGTTCCTATGAGTACCACCAGCCCCTTCTGTCGCTGATGAAAGAGTGAGGCCTGCGTGGTCACCGGGCGCCACCTACTGGCCAGATGTGGATTTGCAGGGGCAGACTCCCCATCCACCCCATGCCCTCCACAAATCAAGCCAGGGGAGTCCAGATGTTAAGTAGGCTTTATATACAGTCTCTTGGGACCTGGGGAGGATCCCCCACCCAGCTCAGTATTCTAGGCCTCTGCCCCCAGGACCGGGACTTCATCATGACCTTCAACACATCCCTACACCGCTCCTGGTGGATGGAGAACGGGCCAGGCTGCCTGGTGACACCTGTCCTGAACTCCCGCCTGGCCCTGGAGGACCACCATGTCATCTCCGTCACTGGCTGCCTCCTTGACTATCCCTACATTGAAGCCCTCAGCAGCGCCCTGCAGATCTTCCTGGCTGTGAGTATTCCTGTCCCCCCACCTCACAACACCCCCAAAAGTGGAATCTGCAAACCCCTTTGTTTAGCCCTAGTTAAGAGGGGCCAAATCTAGGTCTTCCAGCCTGCCTGTGCTTCTGCCTGACTGTTTCTGTACCCTGTACCTCCTCCCTTCACCCTTGCCCCAGCCCCCTTCCGGGAGTGAGCAGACTTAATGACTAGGATGAGGCATCAAACCACGAGTCAGCACTGGGTTTAAATCTCCAGTATGCCCACTGTGTGGCCTTGCCATCTCCAAGTGTGTTTCCTTAGTCAAAAAGGAATGACAGGCCCTGGCTGGGTACCTCAGTTGGTTAAAGCATTGTCTCAATATGCCAAGGTTGTGGATTCAATCCCCAGTCAGGACACATACAAGAATCAACCACTGAAGGCATAAATAAGTGGAACAACAAATTTATGTTTCTCTTTTTAAAATCAATTAAAAAATAAAATATGCTTACCGTGTATTACAAAAAGGGGGGGGTGACTATATCAACCAAAAGGAGTTGTAAAAATACAGTAGGAATGGTTCCAAGGTAATAATAGTTCTCATTTCTAATAGGGCCAGCCCTTTACATATACAAAGGCACTTTACACGTACAAAGTCACATGATTCTCTTTCCCCTTAACAAGCCAGTAAGGTGCCCAGATCCAGCTGGGGAAACTGAGGCTCCAAGAAGTCAAAGAATTAGTTGCCCAAAGCTCACACTTCCAGAACGGAGATTGGAACCAAGTATGTTTGACTTGAAGGCCCAGTCGTTAACTGGAAGTCGTTACAGGTTTGCCTTCATCTTAGCGCACCCTGTCCCTCCAGTCCGGATAGGCAGGGCCCGGCAGAGGGTGCAGGAAGAGCTTCCCTCTCCTCGTGCTCTTTCTCCCTCAGCTGTTCGGCTTTGTGTTCGCCTGCTACGTGAGCAAAGTGTTTCTGGAGGAGGAGGACAGCTGTGAGTGGGCGGCGCCCCTAGGGACGCGGTAAAACCTGGCCGTGAGCCTCCGCGCGCCTTCAGCACCCTGGACAGGGCCCCGAGCGGCCTCAGTGGGAGGGAGCCCTTGGACGGCCATTCGGGGAGGGAAGAAGCGGCGGCAGGGGTGGGTGAGGGTTTGCATAGCCAGCCTATTCCCGGCTGAGGCCCAGAAATCCTAGAGTCCAGTTCAAGGTCCCAGCCCCGCCCCCACCCGCCTCTCATATGCCTTGCCCCTTGCAGAGGCTCCACTGGACTGGTCCCTGTGAGGCACGGACCAATCCCAGGGTTTCCGCTCCTCCATTCCCTTCTCTTAAGTGGCTCGAGCCCTCCCCCCAACAGACTTCTCCCTTAAGGCTGTCCCGCCCCCCATTCTCTCTATCCTTCTAGGGTCTAGGTTGGGAACTGGCCGAGCTCCTCCTTGTCCCCGCCTCCTTGTCCCCGCCTACCTAGGCCCATCCCTCAAGCAGTAAAGCCCACCCCTAAGGCCCTTAATTTGGTGTACCGCCAGATTCTCCCCTTTCAAAGACCAAGCCTCTTAACTCTCCCGCAGCAGGCCCATTCCTAACCATGTGCCACCTCCCCTTCTGCAGTTGACTTCATCGGTGGCTTTGATTCCTACGGATACCAGGCGCCCCAGAAGACGTCGCATTTACAACTGCAGCCTCTGTACACGTGGGTCAAAGCGCTGTGCAGGACGGGGGTGGGGGACTTGGGCGTTAGTATGGGGGGGGGGAAGGGGAGGGGGATGGGAAGAGCAGCCGGAACAATCTGCTCCCTTATTTTAGGGGTCAACTTTCCTAACCTGCCTTTGTTTCCTGCAGGTCGGGGTAGCTTCTGCCCCGCGCCCACCCCAGCGCCGCGTGCTTTGTGGCTAGACTGACAGCTGTGGCCACGATCTCCGGCCAAGATGGCAGGCGCGCCCCCTGGTGGTTTGCGAGCCTACTGCAGCTTGCGTGGCTTGATCTAGGTCTGCTGCGGACTTGGACTCGGCCCTTCACAGCCTGGACTTCAGGGGTGGGGCGGGGTGGGACAAGGGAGGGGAATCTGGAGGTTTATATTTTTTTTATCTCAGCCTTGGCGTGGGCTGGGGCCTCCCTCCCTTCTCCAGCCTCTCCCTTTCAACCGTCACGCAGCATCTGTCCACAGCCCAAGAGTAAAGGCGGGCTGGACAGACGCATCCCATCTCACCACGCCCACTCACCAGCTCTGAGCGAGGTTACCGGGCACTAGGAGCAGGAGTTCTGGGTTCCGGTCGCAGCTTCATCACTGACTCTGTGTGACAACTGGCAAGGCCCTTGCCCTCTTTGGTCCTCAGTTTCCCCACCTCAAATGATTAAAATCACCCCTTAGCAGATGGAGCTCTTTCCAGCCTTCTCTCTCATTTGACTCTCAGTTCCCTGGGTTAGGCTAGGATTATAATCCTTATAATTCCCATTTTGCAGATAAGGAAACTGAGGCCCAGAGATGTGAAGTGATTTGCTTTGAGGCCACACAACTAGGCTTTTGGTGGAGGCAGGCCTTGAATACAGTGAACTTTCTGTAGTTTCAGCCTCCAAAACCCAGTGTCTGGTCTCTGAATTCCATTTTCAAGCCCCTTTCTAGTTTGGGCACTCTAGAACCCATGTGACCTACGCTACATATACACGTCACTGCCACCACTTGCCAATGTCTCTCTTAAAGCAATACACCCGTTCGTTCTCTTGTTGGGAACCAGACATACAGAGCCCAGAGCCCTGAATCCAGCCTGACCCACAGGGAAGCCTTCCTGGGCTAGGCTTCTGTCCACCCTTGGCAGACATTTCTAGCTCCAGGAAAGGGGGTCCGAAACTAAGTCTCTACACCTCCTTCCAGGTCCCTGAAGCTGCTACCCCCATGACCCCATACCCCCTCAGCAGCTCCACCAACCCCTGACAGCTCCATCTACCTGGTCATTTGGAAGACCTATGGTTTAAGAGTGGAAAAGGGCTGGTCAGAACGGCTGGTCACCCGTGCTCATAGATCACTAGTATTTATGACCATTCCGATGTCCAGGAGTTCTGAAGATGCAGAACGGAGGTGCGGGGCACGGTGAGGGGTCAGGAAGGCCAGCACCCTTCCTTGAGAGCAAGCAGAAATGAGAGCTCATTCTCCCTACCTGCTTCCACAGACATCCCTTAGCACCCTGCATCCTGTGCCCTGGCTGGTGGGTCCAAGGGCAGGAGGATCGGCCTCAGCCTCCCGGTCTGTGAAACAGGAGAGGCCCTGGGTGAGGAAGGAGGGTGGGAGGCATCAGGGAACCGGAGGGAAGTGCGGACAGTGCACACCTGAGCCGACCATGGTGACTACTTTGTTCGTGCTCTCTGCCCTGCAATCTAGTATTCCCTGCTGTTTAAGGCTGAGACATCCTGAGCTCAGACCGCACCCCACCATTCCAACTGCAGTTCTGTGCCTGGGAGCCAGCCCCAGGCACTCCTCCAGTCACCAAGGCACCGCAGTCCCAGACGGTCAGCCCTGTTACGGCTGCAGCTCAAGGCCTGGACAATTCTCTTCAGGCCTGGCTGCTGCCCTACCACCCGGCCAACTCCTGCCTCCAGCCCTCCCTTCCCCCACCCGCAGCCAGCTGTCATCTCACACCCACTCCCCAAACCCCCTTCTACTCAAGGGGTTTAGCCACTGGTGCTTTGAAAGCCTTTTGTTTTTATAAGGCGGTTTTTGGTTTTTGCAAGGCAGCCAAGTTCTCCCCGGGGCCTTGCACAGCAGGGAGTGTTCCCCTGGTTTCTGTGCAGGTGGGTTGATTAAAGATGGTGTTTTCTTCTCTCTCTTCCTGTCCTCCTGCCCTGTGAGTCAGCAGGGTCCCTGCATGAGGGCGGGCAGGGGCTGGAAGTCAATGTCATTGTCACTATCAAACATTCCTGGGGCACTGGCCTGTTCCTCTGGTTGGCTGTGTAGCTTTGGGCAAGTTACTCTCCTCTTTCCTGGTCCATAAAATGCAGAGACAGGACTGAGTCAGTGGATTCCCAGGGCTTTCCAATCCCTTGGAGAGCGTTCTATTTTTTTTTTCTGGTGAAGGACATTTTCAGTTTATGTTTCCAAATATCCTTTGCTTCTTGACCCCACCCTCTTCCTGACAATGCAGCTCCCGACTGCAGACCGTGCTTCAGAAAGATGCTGGGCCCCACCCAGGGTGTCCTGGATCCTTTCCGGAGATACACTAGAGTCGGTATTTTGAATTTTTAAGATTTTACTTTTGTGGACAGGTAATATGTATGTATTAGAAAGTTTCAAGGGGTTATATTCTCTTGTTTTTATAGCTTTCCAAAGATAGTCAATTTAAAAAATTTTTACTTATTGCTCTTAGAAAAAGAAACATCAATTTGTTGTTCCACTTATTTGTTATTCCCACATCCATTGGTTGCAGTATGTGCCCTCAATGGGGATTGAACCTGCAGCCTTGGCAATTTGGAATGATGCTCCAACCAACTGAGCTATCAGCCAGGGTGATAGTCAGTTTTTTAAAATTCTATAAATACTTGTTTTTCCCCTTTTTTCACACAAGTGACAACATATTCTACTCATTTTTCAACTCCCTGTTTTTTTTTTTTCACTTTCTGAATCTTGGAAGTCTTCCCCCAGTAATACACACACACCTGTCTCCCCTTCCTCCACAGGGATTTGGTAGAATCTGGGTATGTAGAGATTCCCAGGTGATCCTTATGTAGCTAGGGACTAAGAACCAGGGCTTCTACAAAAGGACACCCCAGGCCCACTGTGCAAACTTCTGTGGAGCCCTCCTGGTCATGGAGTCCAGAGGAAAAGAAATCGCAGACACCACCTGCAAGGAGCTTACGGTCTAGAGGGGAGCCCGCAGGATGGGCAGGCAGAAGAGTGAGTGCTGCTAGCAGGTGGCCGGTACCAAGGACAGTGCAGAGGAAAGGCAGGTGTGCATAGGAGCTTGGGAGAGAGATGACCCAGGCATCCTGACAGGGGAGCTGTGGAGGGAGGACACACGGGATCTGGGGCAAGACCAGCCAGAGACTGACTGGTTGGAGGAAGCTTCCATGGGGAATGTTTTTGTTTCCTATTGCTGTCATAGATGACCACAGTTTTTGTGTCTTTTAAAAAACACAAATGCATCACCTTACAGAAGTTCAAATGGGTGTCACTGGGCTAAAACCAAGACACCTGGAGGGCCGCATTTCTTTCCCAAGGCCCTGGAGAGAATGCGCTTCCTCACCCTTTCCAGCGTCCGGAGGCTGCGCTCATTTCTGGACTGTGGCCAGCCTTCCTCCACCTTCAAAGCCAGCAGTGTTGCATCTGCCTGACCCTCCTTCCATCATCATCTCTCTCTCTCTCTAAGAAGAGCCAGGAAGGGCTCCCCACTTTTGAGGTCTTGTGGTGTGGCATTGGACTGGGCCCCCCCCCCGCCTGGTCCAGGAAAGTCTCCAAGTCCTTGGTCACATCTATAAAGTCCCTTCTGCCACGTAACACATTCACACGCTCCAAGGATTAGATTGTGGAGCTAATCCTTGGATAAACTTTGGGAGCTACCATGTTATTCTGCCTTCCGCAGGGAAGTTGTGCCCAGGTTATAGCAGCCCTGAATGTCAAACCGGGGTGCATCAGCCTGACGTGGCGACTTACAAGATTTTGAATAGAAGCTGCCCAATTACAGCTCTCCCTCAGAGGGAACTGGTGGGGCTAGAGAGGCAGGCTGGGGGAGGAAAGCAGGAAGCAGTGTTCTTTTTGGAAGAGGCCTAGGGTTTCTCACTTCGCCGTGTAGATGCATGTTATTTGGGACATGTGTGACCATGAACTCGGTGTGAACTCGGGAGGGCTAGTACAGTAATGAAGGACGTGAAATGTGGAAGTCAAGCATCCCTGGGTCCAAATGTATCACTCTGCAACCGGCTGAGCTGGTCTTTCCTCCAAGCCCAGGGAAGCTCCCCCAGCTCCTGCCATCCCGGGGGCCATCTCCCAGCAACCTCTGCACATCGGAAACGCCCAGATAGGGCAGGCCTTCTTCAGCAGCCGCTCAGTCAGGAGGGTGCCACGGCAGTCTTTGAAGCAATACGATCTTAATTCTCCGAGGTGCATTTGACAAGCGCAATGGTCCACTGGGATTCATAGACACACTTAGAGTTTTCTTCAACTTGTTGGAGTTGGGTCTTGCGGTTTCTAAGCAGATTAGCAGTGAGGGAGGGCCTGACACCAAGGCCTCGCTGCCTTGTGTGACTCATTACTCCACAGGCTGCCTGAGCTAGGCAGTGTCTCTCAGACTTGCAGGCGTGAGGATCCTTAGAATGCAAATTTCTGAACCTAACACCTGGGCAATGACAGGAATCTGCGTTTGGGGTTGTTTTTTTTTTTCACATGCCCCCAGGTGATCCAATGTGGGTAAATCCTAGGCCCAGGGAGAGAGGCGAGCAAACATTTTTGAGTCTTCCTTTACGCCCGTGTCATGGCGGCCGCACCAAGTTAAGCCTGTCAGCTCCCTCGTATCAGAGCTAGATCTCAGTTCTCTCCCCAAAGTTCCATTTCGTTTGGTTAACAGATGTTGTTTTTTTAAAACTCTCCCAAGTTGAAGATTTTTACTTTTAGAGAGAAGGGAAAGAAGGGAGAAGAGAGAAGCATCAGTGTGTGGTTGCCTCTTGTGTGGCCCCCACGGGGGACCTGGTCCGCAACCCAGGCATGTGCCCTGACTGGGAATCAAACCAGCTACCCTTTGGTTTGCAGGCTGGCATGCAGTCCACTGAGCACGCCATCCAGGACTGTTAACAGATGTTTTTAATGGGTTGCACACTTGAAAGGCTGTGATCCACTCTTAAACATTGACATAACTTCATCACTAAGTTAGTTTGGGCAAAGGCAGGACCATGCTTTGCCTTTCCCTCCCAGCCTCTGGCACCAGCAGGAGGTGAGTGCACCTCTGATTTGCCCCCACAGCCACCTGAGCTGTGGGCCATGCCCTGCCCTAGGCCTGGGTCCCAGTGACTCAGCATTTCCAGAATCAGACTGGGCAGGCCCAGACAGACCTGAGCTGCAGAGAGAGCCCTGTGCAGGCTGTCCAGTACCTAAATCCCACCTCTTCCTCTGCCCCACCCACTGGGGACCTGGGGTAGCTCCTCCCACCTCCGGCCTTGGTGAGAGGAGAGGGCTGAGCTTTGCGTGATGACACTCTGAGAAAGGGCTTCTCAACCCTAATGTACTTGGGATGCCTTTTTAAAAATACAGGTTTCTGGGCTCCACTCACATACCAGGTTCTAATTCATTTCAACCCAAGCACCTGAATTAATTCTTTAACTTTATTAAGCATCTACTATGTGCCAAGAATTGGGGATACAACAGTGAACAAGACAGAAAGTAATCCCTGCTCTCAAGGAGATCTAGTGGGAGGAACCACAGTAGAGTGTACCACCCAAGTGCCAGCAACACAAGGCAGGGAAGGAAGTGCAGGGTAGAAATCGATTCTAGTTATAAATTGGACTTCAGGTCACTTAGGGAAGGTCTAAGAAGGATTTCTGATGCGAGACCTGAAGAAAGTCAGGTAGAAAGCAAAGGGAACAGCAAGTGCAAAGGCCCTGAGGTGGGAGCACACCTGGATATTGGAGAAAAGCAAGTGGGCCAGTGTGGTTTAAAGCAAGGAAGAGGGCCCTGGCTGGCGTAGCTCAGTGGATTGAGCGCAGACTGCGAACCAGGCATCATAGGTTTGATTCCCAGTCAGGGCACATGGCTGGGTTGCAGGCCACGGCCCCCAGCAACAGCACATTGATGTTTCTCTCTCTCTCTCTCTCCCTCCCTTCCCTCTCTAAAAAAATTTTTTTATAAAAAAAATAAAGCAAGGAAGAGTGAAGCTGGTAGGAGATAAAGTGGGAGAGGTGGGGAAGGGTAGGCAGGTCAGACACTTAAAGGGCCTCATAAGGGTTGGCCTTTAATCTGAATGAGGTGGGGAACCACGGGAGGAAGAGAGCACAGTGCTGGGGAAATCCCTTTGGACACGGCGTGGAGCGTGGCCATAGGACGTCAGGGGTGACAGAGGGAGACCAGGTCCAACGCCACCAAGATCATCCAGGTGACAGGGACTGGCGGTTGCATCAGGGTGGCGGCAGTGGAGGACGTGAGAAGTGGCTGGATTCCAATCAGTCTGTGGGTAAGACCGACAGGGTCTGCCGGTGGGCTGGATGTGGGATGTGAGTGAGAGAGAGGGACCAAAGAGGACACCATGCTTTCTGGCCGGAGCAAGTGGGATGGAGGTGACAGCAGCAGAAGGCTGGGAGCCGACTTCGACATTTGGGTTTTGGACATGTTACATTGGAGATGCCTGCCAGACATTCAAGCAGAGGTGTCAAGAGACAGCTGAGAGGTGTGGGCTGAAGATAATGGGTGAGGATTCCCCGGTGTTGGGGTGGGGTTTCAAGTCCTCGCAGTGGGTGGAGTCGTCCAGCAGGGGATGCAGACAGGGATGAGGGCTGAAGACCAGAGCCGGGCACTTCCACAGTCACAGCTGGAGCACATCGGGGAGCCAGCAGAGAAGGCTGAGGCCGGGAACCAAGCTGCTGATAAGAACTAGCATTTCTGAGTCGTTGCTCAGTTTACTGAGAATTTCTTTCTATGTCAAGAAACACTCGCTGAGCGCCTCCTAGGTTCCAGACACTGTTCTAGACACTGACGGTATAGCAATGAATGAGACAGACTAGGCCCCAGCTTTCTCTCTTACAGCTTATCTTCTAGGCAGAATCGGCATGCATTTTCTTTTTCAGTCCTCCT